GCTCTGGGCCCTATCGCTGCTAGAGCGAGTAAATTTCCCTCCTTGGGTTTCAGGACGGCAGTGAACTGACGCCCATGTGTTGAATAGAAAAAGACGGCGCGCAAGGCGCCTGGGCTCGGTCTGCGGAATCGGTCTCAGCGGTTGGCTGAGTATGCGCAGCGCAGAGCTGACGTCCTTGGGCTTTTCGGTCCTTCTGAGTATTCACCACCCATGAACGACGAAGACTCGAATGCGTTGATGGATCTGACGAACGGCGGCGGCGCGTCTGGGGACTCCAAGGGGAGAAAGCGACGGAGACCGTGGCGCGAGCGTGAGAGGGTCGGGGGGCTATCAAGTGTATATGGATTGAGGTATCGATTGCAAGCTCCGTCAGACGCGCTGTTTCGTCCTAGAGTTGACGAGGAGGAAGAAGTGGAGTATGAGGAGATGGTGAAGCGGACGGTGGTGTTCGGCCCTGTTGGGCAGGGACGGTGAGTTTTATTATTATTAGATTGGTTTGAGGGATGTGTTTTGGGGCTGAAGGGTATGGGAGTTTAGGTACAAGTACGATCCGAAGATGCCATCTTCTCACTTGTCAGTGGGCAGCACTCTGTCCTGAAACGTTCTCCAAAACTGCAAATACGCATCTAGTTTTACATTAGCATTTCGGGCGTCTTGGAATGTGGAATTTCGCTCGGGCCCAAGATTGCCAAGTGGCACATTTTATTGTACATTTAATGGTCGCAAAAACCTATATACATAATTTGTTCGTTGAAAGATAGCACATGTTTGTTTTGGATGATGTTTCAAAGATTTAGAGCCTGTTCACACAGCAAGTATCACCAACATTTGTCACACCCCAAATGGATGAAAAAGTCTGAAAGTAGTTAAAATATTTAATTGTATTCTAGACCTACAGAATAATGTATTTTTGTGGACATATTTCCATTAATTGGAATTCTATGGAACCAAACGGCACGGAAGGGGCCATTAGAATATTGTCTTTGGTCCGACGTAAGAGTCACACGACCTCTCTTTCTTTAGTGCAACCACATACGCTGGCCACAAAATAGACAAAATATTCGAGAATTATCTTTCTTTCTTTTATTTCGATATTATTTCTCGCATACTCTGGTTAGAACGATCCTTAACAAATCCCACTACGCACACCTACCAATAATTATTCACCATATATGTCTGAACCCGAGCCTCAACAGAACCTACAAGTTCCAGACTTTGCATCACAAGAACACGAAGAGATCAGAAATGGTCTCATTCGTATCCTTGGCCTAACTAACGAAGAAGCCATCGAAAACACTTACCACTACACGGAGAACTCGCAACAACATTCATCTAGCCAATCATGCACAAATTCCTATCAACCCTCGCAACACGTCTCCTGACCCTCAACCAGCAAATAATCCTGACCAGGAGAGCAACAAACAGAAAACCAAAGTTACAGACTTTGACGACGACAGCTCGGTTCCATCCTTCATCCTCGACCGACCATCTTCTTACGCCTTGCAAAAGCTAGAAGACATAGAATACGTCAAACTATGGTATTTCACACCTGCGGGCTGCACTGAAGCTACCGCAACAATGTGATCAAATGCTGACTCTTTCAGCTTTACCAAAATGGGTGACTTAGTTGCACTCAGACCCATATCCTCCACTCGAGCCTCTCGGAACGTCATCCAAGATGAAAATCTAACCATGGCGCAACTTTCAGTAGCTCGCACTGCATTCCTCGACCATGCCAAAAAATTGGCATGGCCGCGCAGACATCTTGATTCTCTCGTCCGGTTCTTCAGCCACATTGAGAACCACCCTCTGCGCCGTACCCCGCACGGAGAAGAAGCATTGTTAGCTTATCAAGCTCAAGTCAGAAGAGAATGGCACGACTGACTGAAACTCAATTCAGAGTCAGTCTTCAATATAGCCAACATCAATGAGAATCTACTGGCATCCATCGAGAGACAGCTCTTGACGAGTGCCTACGCCAGGGAAATCAAACAGGTACGTCTCTTCTTTTCTCATTATAACTTATGTCCTACATTGTTTTCTAATCAATACTGTCTACTTTCCATCATATAATCAACCTACAATCATCAACCACACCCATGCACATAATGTGAGGAATCAAATTTTCTTATTGCATTCCCATCATGTCGTGGTTATCCGATTTGCTCCCTGTCACTCCTTTTGCCCTTGGACTAGAGATTACAGCCGGTATCTTATTACTTTTATCCTTTTTCTTCTTATTCTCCATTCATACTCACGTCCTATTGTACTTACAACAAAGGAGAACTGTTGTAGACCCTCGAGAAGATATCCAAATGACATAGCAACAATCTAGTGTTATGTCTGGGAATACTTTGGAGGGATATTGATAAGCGAAGAAGGCTGTGAGTCAGCGTCTTCTCATGGGCTTACTGATACAGCCAATTGCACACTTCTTACCAATACTTTCTCTCATACAATTAGTAAATACAATAGATCGGACCACTTTTTCTTTCTTTTCCTATTGGTTAGTCAATTGGTTAGACCACTTTCTTAACTCTTCCCTTTCTCGGTCTGACCCTTGTTGTTCACTATATAAAGAAGTACATACTTGATATATTATTCTTTAGTTCAATATTAGTTTGGATTTGCGCCTATATCAATACTCTTCAACTTTCATACCCTGCTTCACCGCCTTTCAGCAAGGACTTGACCAGGCATTGTGTTTTGTTATATAGCTTCGTATTCGTTGTTTAACACATAAACTCATTCACGCAAATACAATCAATCACACATCACGCACATGTAAATGCAAATGCATTCACATAATTATAATCAAAAAATAAATAAATCATATATTGTAACAACAACACTTCCACATGCATCATATATATACATAATATCATAACTGTCAGATGAGCAACATTCATGCAGGCCCAAAAGCCAAACAAACTACCTACCACATACGTCGCAATGCATCTCCATACAGAAGGCAGGAAAAACCATACAGCCGCCCTTGATCAAGATCCCCTGACACATCCCACGACAACCGTTGTCATTGTTGCAACCACCAACAACATGAACACTACGACAATTGTTCCTTTCGTGCTGCAAAAACGCCCACCAATCCAGTGTGCGCATTATGCCTTGGCTCATACCCCCATGATTTTCCCAAATGCAACACAGACCGCATGTGGGACGGCTCCCCTGTCAGATGTACAAAATCAGAAAGAGGCAGAGTCATTAATCCGGGCAGTAAACCCATATGCATTGACTGGCAGAGACACAGAGGATATCACAACAATGACCACCCACAATGTCATGAATGCTCAGGATGCAGAGCCAAAGATCATGGAGCTCAAGAATGCAATCGCAGACAAAAGACTACATCTAACAACTCCTTATAAAATACTTGCATGGACAACTGCACTGGAAACTACAGGCTTGATAATCAAATACCCAAACATATCGCTATCCTTAAAG